TGTGTGTGTGTGTGTGTGTGTGTGTGTGTGTATGTGTGTGTGTGTGTGTGTGTGGTGGGTACAGGGCCGTGGTTTTGTGTGTGCAGATCTGTTGGAATGGAGCAGTCACACTTGAAATGTTTCTTCCTGGCCAGGCCACTGCTTCCCTGGGGCTTTGGCTAGAGAAGCCAACATTTCTTGGGATTCTTGGTTTGCACCCATGGCATTGCTGGGTCGCTGACTTCTCCAGCACCTTGTTTGAGAAACCCCAGGGGCCTTGTCACCTTGTCATTGTGTGGTTCTTGGAGTCTCTAGTCCATCTGCCTTCATCTCTCCACCTTGCAGAGCCTTGCTGTGTTTGTTTTATGTGTAATGTCTGGAGTTTTGAGGGAGTCTTGGAGGGCGGAGGAGGTAGGGAGAAGTGTGTCTCTGCCATTTGTCTGGAACCAGAAGTTGGCCTGGTTTCTGTGGGTGCCGGCAGCATTATGGATCTATCCCCTTTCTAACCAGGCTCATGGGTGTATTCTCAGGCCCTTTTCATTTGTTTCTTTACGGGTACATCAGGTGGGGACCTGTCTCCGCTGGAGCTGGCTGATGTGAATGGAGACGGCCTGCGCGATGTGCTGCTCTCCTTCGTGACGTCAAGGAACGGGAGCTCAGCAGGTGAGAGACATGTCTTTCTGAGGCTGCATCTGTTATGCCGTGAAGAGCACTGCAGAAGGTTACCATGCATCTGTTATATGTGCTAAGTCTGATCGGAAAGTGCTCGTATGAAAATAAAGCTCAGTTCATGAAACCCAGAGAGAGTTGGAAGGAGCTCTTGGTGGTTGTCTAGGCCACTGAAGAAACTGACCCCGAGAGGAAGTGGTTTCTCCCCTCCCCGTCTCTTCTCTGTTGCCTCTTAGCTTATAATGAAAGTGGTCTCCCACCCCTGGCCCAACCTTTGTTCATGAACTTAGAGGTACAATCCGAAAAGGTAGTATGTATTTAAATTGAAAACATTTGCTATAATAAAAGGCATATTTTCTTAATCTCTGCCTCAGAATGCTCCCCCTTGCTTGAGACATACTTATCCTATTATTTTTGCCACTTTCTGAAGCAGTTCTGAAGGTCTTCTTTTATGAGTGCCTTTAGTTGCTGTGTCTGATTACCTTGGTGTCCTGATTGGTTCAAAATATTTACCTCTCGTGGTAATTTTGACTTCAGGAATGATCCAGAAGTCATATGATGCCAGATCTGGTGAGTAAGGTGGATGGCACACTGTAGTGGCTCTACAAGCCTGCCTTTCCACTGGGTAGCCCTCAGCAGCAGCATTCATTGTATTTTTGATCATGCCTTGTACAGACGTTCATAAAAGAGGACTCTAAGAACTGCTTCCAAAAGTGGCAAGAATGATGGGGTGTGTCCAAAGTGAGGGGGGCATTTTGAGGAGGTTCATTGGCAGTGGAGACTGGCCTTGAACTCACTGTGTAGCCCAGGCTGGCCTTGAACTCACAGCCATCCTCCTGCCTCAGTCTCCCAGGTTCTAGGACTATAGTATTGCGCCATCACACTGGGCCATGGCAGTGTCTTTTACTAAATTTTGAGGATGTGAACTTTCACTGTATGCTTCACTGTGGCAGCCCCTTGTACACATCTTTGCACACGCACCTCCTGGCTGAGTGCTGTCTTTTCTCTGGTTTACACTCCTCTTATCCTGCCCCATCTGTGGGGAGGCTGGCCTGTAAGTTTGGGTCTCTCCACCCTGACCATATCTCTGTAGTCTCCTTAAACCTTGCACCACTCACCCTGAGTGTGCTACTTCTGGGACCCTGGGCATTATACTTGTCAATTGTAGAAACAAAGAGGCAAAAGCACATTCTGATTTCAGCTTAGAGACACAGGGGGTCTGGCTTGTCCTGCAGCTCTGTTAAAGTGGCACTGATTTTATTCTGCCAAGAGATACAGCATCTGTAGTTGGAGGTCAAGAAAGCCCTGAGAACAACTTGTTAATCATTTAGGCCTTGGGATAAATTTGGAAGTATTATCTAGAAATCTCTGGAGTGTGCACACCTTTGGCACCTTTAAGGGATTTAAGCTTTAAGGGGTTTAAGCAATGTATAGAAGCAATTTGGGCAGAGATCAGTGACAGAGAAAACTTGTTGCCTATTGTTTTCATATAAGTGGACCTTGACTGCATTTTTTTTCCTGCCCTTGAGTCATTAATTAACCTTTGAAGTAGGATTTTCTCCACCCACTTTTAGATTTAGGGATGTTTTAGTCAGATGTTATTTTATATGATTTGCTAAAGCTGTGGGTTTGGACACCAGATGGACCAGCCTGATTTGCCCACAGATTGTAAAAATAAGAATGTAACCTACTGTTGGGTGCTTTCTATGTGCTGTGCACTGTTGTGCGTGTGTAACATATGTGAATAAATTTATCCCTCAACACAATCCTATGAGGTAGACGAATCTTATTGTCCCTCTTTTGTGGATGAGCGGTGAGGTTCGGGAACTTTGGCAGAGCTGGGAATGAGATCCAGGAGTCAGGCTCTGGAGTTTACGTCCTAGCCCTCAGGCCAGGTGGTCATACCCATACCCCACAAAGCTGTGTGCCACTGGATGTAGCAGGATTGGATTTCTAATGGATTCGTTCATAGCGGAATTGGGTTTCTAGTGGGTTTGCTCATCCGTCTGTCCATCCCTTCAGCGGCCATGAATCGAGTGCTGACCATGGCAGCGTTGTGCCTGTCTCCAGGGCTATGCTGCTTGTAGGGACCTCACCCAACGTCTGTGTGGGCTCTGCCTCAAGGAACTGGGGCTGATGGGGAAGGGGCGACCCTTTACGACCCTGGAAAACAAATCAGAAATGCCTTGGGGCTCAGGAGGGTCCTTAAACAGGAAGGGTGGCACAGGGCACTAATCACAGCTTCCTCGAGACATCTGGAAGCCAACTTAGGTACCACTGTTTGTCATATGTCGCTTCTTCTGGCAACAAGGTCTGAAACAGTGAGCTACTGTTTGCCACTTGCTTTTAGGTCATGTATTTAATTAGTCAGAGTGAAGGCTAGGTGGAACGAAACTCTAGGGCTTGTTTTGCCTTTCCTGTTTTAGTTGTTGCCGGAAGTGGAAAGTGTGTAAAGGTGTCCATGCCGTGGAAGTGAGAGTAAGTCTGGCAGGGGGATTGCTACTTGCAGTGCTACTTAAGCCACCTAAAGGCTTGTTTATCAAAGGGGTGAGCAATGCTGGTTCCTTACCATCTAGCCTCAATCCTAGGTTTTAAGTGTGTCCAAGTGATCTTTGCTGTCTGGGACCAAAGCAGCCGGTTCCGTGTATTGCTAGACCTGCTACACCTCTGCTCTACCTCTGCTCTCTACCCATGATTTTCAGGGTTATTTTAAAAAACATTCTTTTTCTGCTGTTAGGAAGGTTTGCTATAGGTGATTATGATTCAGGTATTCTGCTCCCTGCTCTGCACATATTCTAGGTCAGGCCAGTGTTTCTGAGCATACCTTTCCCTCCTGGGTTTTTGTTCCTGACAGCTGTTTTCCATATGCTGGGTTTTGCTCCTGTCTATTACTCAGCAAACATCTGGGAGCTGTGTGTGCCAGGCATTTTGCAGGCTACTGAGGGTACAGAAGTGAGCGAGGCAGTCTTTACCCTGAAGGACATCGCTGTTAGTGGGGACTGAGGCATTAGGCAGGTGAACAGTGTGTTGGGAAAGGTACAGAAGGTGAGGTACAGCGAGGCAGCCCCTTCCTGCCCGATGTGGGAGCTGTGTGAGCAGAGGCGACGCTCAGTGTACACCCAGGGTACTCAGTGTTCAGACACGCGGGGATGGACCGTGTGCACGTGAGCTGCTGCCTCTCCACGGTTCGCCTTTGGTCTTCGGGCCTCGTGCTCATCTCTACCTCTTATCTCCTCAGCCTCCTCCTTTTTCTGGTCTCTCTGGGCTCTTAGGTGGCTCAAGGCTGGCTGCTGATCTCGTGTGCCTCTCGGGGATGAACGGCAGTACTCTGTGGTCCAGTGCCCTCCCGGAAGAGGCCCAGGATATCACATGTTTGGATCTGACGCCAGGCAGCGGGGCTGAAGTTATCTGTCTTGTGACTGGGACGCGCAAGATGCTCAGTGCATTCAACGCAACCACAGGTGAGGGTCACTGGCCACAGAGACCTTTGCCATAGGAATGATAACTTGCGGTTCTGACAGGCTGCTGGGGAAGGGACTTTCCTACTGAGGTGGACGGAAAGTCTGATTTGCTACCCAGAAGGTGGTTATTAAGGGACTAAGATAAGAGGTTTGGGCAGACTGAGTAAATAGATCCATGTTTCAGCCTGTTTGGTGATGGGATGGGGCTAAACTCAGAAACTAGCCTGAGGCCTTTGGTTGTGAATTGTCTCCCAAATCTGTGGAAAGGACAGATGAGCTTTGTCTCTTCCCATTTGAGATATGTGGAGTCCTTGCAGAAACATAGGCATTAACTACTTAAAAATATTTTTTATGAAGAAACAAAAGCATGTTGAGGCATGTTGATTTTGCCTTTTGGCTTTTTACTGTGTTTAGACAAGAAAAAGGGAATGAAAAACAAATATAACGAAGCTTCCTTACAGAATCGAAAGTACCCTGCCAGTGTGCCGGTTATTACCTGGGCAAGGTTGGCTGCCGTGGTTTGTGTCTATAGTCCCAGCTACTTAGGGGCTGAGGCAGGAGGATCACTTGAGCCCAGGAGTTCAAGACCAGACTAACAACCTAACAAGATCCTGTTTCAAAAAACCAAAAGAAAACAAAGAACAGGAGGGGAAATGTGAGGACGAGTTGCTGCCTGTTGTTCAGCCCTTTGGGTTTCACTTTGTGCCTGCCTTTTCCAGGAGCAGAAGAACACACTAGTGATTGCCCTCTTTTCCTGCCCTAGGGAAGGCCCTCTGGACTCTGAGCCCAGACTCCCTGTCCAGTGGCACCTTGGCTGCCCCTGCGGTGGTGCTGCCAGACTTGGACAAGGACGGCGTTGGAGACCTTGCGGTTCTGGCCATCGGGGAGACACAGGTGTGGTCTCCATCAACCGGTTTTTGTCTCTTACAGAGAGAACTTTATTTGTAGCCATCTCGGTTCCTAATGTCATAAATATCTGAAACTTTGCTTTTACAAAAGATGGAGTTTAAATAAATTCTCTGCTGAGGGTAAGCTACCTAATGAGCATCGTGAACCTGTTTTTGCAGCAGTCTCATTGTGGTTCTGTGCACGGTAGTGTGGTGAGCTCTGGATGTACGTGGGTGGGGCTGTGTCCCCACCTTGGATGAACATGCAACCACCCAAGCTCTGGTTTCTTTTCTTTTTTTTGGTACCAGGGATCTAACTTGGGACCTTGCGCTTGAGAGGCAGGTGGCAGAACCACTGAGCTAAATCCCTGGCCCCTGAGCGCTGTTTTCTTCATGTGCAAAATATTGAACTGTTGCATCTGGTTGTGGGATTGGTATGAAAAGTAGAGCTGGACACACTTGGGGTTCCTAGAGTAGAGCCTACCTTTTATATCTTTAACTCTATTGTTAGTTTTACTATAGTAAATATATTTAAGTTTTATTTCAACTGTAAAACAATAGGACTGCCTGATAAAATATGTATAGAAAATAATTGAAGTCAAACAGTAGCATCAGTAATCAAAGTAAAGAGAATTGTTGTCTATTCTGTGACAAGACAGACTGATTATAGTATAGTGGCCCTATTAGCCGTCTAAATTCACAGCATTCTGAGAGGCTGAGACAGGAGGATTTCAAGTTCCAGCCATTCTGGGCAATTTAGTGACTTAGTGAACTCTGTGTCTAAAAAAAAAAGGGTTAGGGTGGCTGGGGATACCGCTCAGAATGAAGGCCCTCGGTTCAACCCCACAGTATTACAAAAAGGAAAAATAATCATCCTATTAGTTGTGGAGCTAGTCATTCTTTATACAGCTAGAGTGATACTAGATATTTTCTCCAAATTTCAGGAAAGACTAAATTAGTGAACAGTCATCTTAGTTTTAAGTTTTTGGTACAAAAGCACTTTTTACAGCTTCAGTTTTTGTTTGTTCATTTGTTTTGTTTTGTTTTGTTTTTTTTTTTTTGGCCATGTAGTTCAGGTAGGTCTTGAACACATTACTTAGTCTAGGCTGGCCATGAACTCACTTTGATCTTCCTGCCTCAGCCTCCCAAGTGATGGGATTACAAGCATGTGCTACCACACCTGGCTTTTTACTTTTTATTTTATCTTATTTTTTTCTTTTATTGAGTTTATTGGTACATTTTAGGTATACAATACAGTTACATTCAATATTGGGATCTTGTACCTTTACATGACAGGTGATCTTGGTTCTCATTTTTTCCCCTTGTCCCTGCCCTCCCTTCACCCCCTCCTCTCCTCTCCATTTACAACCACTTTATTTCTATTTTTCATTTTCTCATATTTTTTTCCCTTATTACCTTTCCCCTACCCTTCCCACTTTCCCTACACCTTTAGCCCCTTTCTTCCCGTTTCACAATGTCAGTTATCTACACCTGGCTTTTTTACAGCTTCTGTTGAAGTTTTTCTAAGACACTTTTCTCAGACTGCCTAATCAGACAAGGAAATGCTTATGGACTAAAAATTTGAACAAATGGCAAAATGAAAAATGTGGATATAGAAATATGGGAACATGTGGATACAGATAATTTTGCCTCATTTGGTAGCTGATTTTAATTTTAAAGCAAAAGACCTCATGGATACATTCTGGTGGTTTTCTTCAACAAGCCATTTTATCTGGAAGTGGACCAAGAATTTAGGAAATATTTGTGAAAATTAAAAAAATATATATCCTAGCCATTGTGAGTAAAGGGACTGGTCTAGGGAAAATTTCAAATATTACCTCAAGCAAGGAGAGATTTTCTGAAAGTCTCCAAGAGGAAAGGCTGGGGAATTTCTTTCTAATGGAATTCTAGTCAGCACAGGTAGAGTGAAACACTGAATATGCTCTTATACCCTGAATGAATTTAAAGTCTTGGTCTTAATACCCCATCTCCTCCTTATTGCTGGTGGTAGTCAAGGGTTGAGTTCAGCCTTTAGGGAATCCCCCATAGTAGGGAAGGGCTTCCATCGGAAGAGTGAGCTTCTCATCTGCTTTTAAGTTGCTAGTGCACTGCCCAGCTTGCCTCTCAGAACTTCCTCTTAGCACAGTAGTGTACGACTGTGGAGTACTCTCCGTTCTGCCTGACAAGTGACAGACAGTTCTAGAAAATTCTTGGAGAGAAGATGGGTTTGGAGCAGCAGCTTCATTGGTGTTCCGACCTCTGCCCTTTTTATCAACAGCAGCAGAGAACCTGAGGAAGTATTTAAGCTGCACTCATGGAAGGTGGTTTCATCACAAGGAAGGAAATGCAGGAGGGCTTTGACTTTTGAGTCACTGCAAGAGTCGCTATTGGGGGAACTGGGCCTGGTTTGGGATTAGTGAAATGGATGTGGCTGAGGGTGTCGTGGGAAGGGACCGTAGACTCCAACAGTGGCCGTTCTCACTCCGTGGTGTGATCTGACTCTGGTTCCAGACTCATGGCTCCGGGTCCTCCTTGACCTTGTGGGCCGATGCAAATGTCACTCATTTGTGAGGCAGCGGTTTCATTTTTGGTCAGCTGTAGTAAATTCTGTGTTATTGATAAGAAATGTGTTTTCTTCTTCTTTTTTTTTTGGCACTGGGGATTGAACTCAGGACCTCACACTTGCCAGGCAGGTGCTGTACCGCTGAGCTACACCCCTGGATGAGAAATGTGTTTTCTGATAGCCTCCTCTCACTGTTCCAACATCAGTGCCCTGAGTCTCCACTTCAACTACAGGAAAGCCCTTTGGCGTCGGCCTGGTCAAAACCTACGACATTTCCTTATTCTTTTCCTCCATGGGCAGGAAGTCAGAATGCCTTTTTCTTGATTTCTTTCCCTTTCCCTTCTAATTTTTGCAACATTTTCAAATACAGTGTCAACTATATTATTATTGACAAACGATAATTATTGACAAACAATAATTTATTCATGGCATAACCAGTGATATCAGACTAAGGATATTGTTACTTCTTATGATCTGGATTTTTGTTTCTATTTATGAAAATAAAGCTTGCAATAGCCTTCCTAAAATTTTTGTTTAATAATCAATGAAAGCACCCACATTTTGTAATTGATTGTTTTCCAACTTTTCTTTTTTTGAATTGGTACATTCGCAGTATAGCCATACATAAAATTTATATTTATTTTGAAGAATTTGTAAATATATGTATTTTTTTGATCTCCTTCCCTCTCCCCTCTCCTCTGCATACCAGTTTTTAAATAGATTTTGATTCATCCTCCAGCTTAAGGTATCTTTGAATTTCAAATTTATCATATAATATAGTAGCCAGATCTTCTTGCTTTGTGATAAACTTGAATTCAGGTCATTCAGATCTTTGATAAGAATATTTAATAGGAAAGGGTCAATTGCAGAGTGCTATGTCACTCCATTAACCTTTCTCTAGGTTAGTTTTGACCTTGTAAGTACCTTTTTCTGGATACCCTGCAAATCATTTTTCTTTATTTTATCCCTGAGAATTCACAATGATACATTTTGTCAAGATAACCTGTATAATTCTTGTTTTTCCCAAATCATGACTTTGTCTTCAAAAGAAAAATCTTCAAGGGCTGGGGTTAATAAGCTGTGACCAGATTTGGCCTATTGCCTGTTTTATAAATAAAGTTGTATTGGAATACAGTCATGGCCATTCATTTTTGTGTTATGTATGACTACTTTCATGCTAAAACAACAGAGTAAAGTAGTTGTTATAGACACCATCTCACTGGCAAAGACGAAAATATGTACTCTCTGGCCCTTCATGGGAAAGGTTTGCTGGTCCCTGAGAATAGCGTTGACAGTGGCCAGGCCAGACATCCGATGATGATGGGGAAACTCTGTTTTTTTTTTCTTTTTTTTTGTACCGGGGATCGAACTCAGATCCTTGTGTTTGGGAGGCAGACAGCGGAACCACTGAGCTAAATTCCTGGCCCTGGGGAAGCTCTGTCTGCCTTGATTCTTCTTGGGGACAAACATTCCTGAGAGTTTCTAGGAATGGGAGTGGAGACCTGGGGTCAGCCGTATTGTATTTGGCTCTAGTTTAGAATTTTGTGCCTGAGCAGAGTGTGCAGTCAGCAACAACTGTGCTCAGAGAAATTGTCTGCAGGACCCTAAGGATGTTTTTTGTATATATGGAATATTTTCCTTGTTTTTTACTTCCAGGGAAATAAGAGGCAAGGTGCTTCCCAAATGAGGGAAATATTTCTGAGAGGAGGTGGTGACTGTCTGGAGAAGCCGTTTGACTAGGAATGGAAAGCTTTGGTTGACTTGACCTTTCTTTCATTTCTTCAGCCAGATGTGTGCTTTCTGCTGGTGTCTGGCCGGACAGGGAGCCCACTGGGCCGACCTGTGAAGTATAGCTTCGTGGGAGTGGGGAATCTGATTGGTCCCCAGGTTTACAGCACGGCCAATGGGGCTGTCTACATCCTGTTTGGCTTTGGTAAGAAGCAAGACTGGTTTTCCCTGTCGTTCCCTGCAGGTTTGTGTAGTGGATTGTCTTTTAGGACTGGGGGAAAACTCAGGGGTTGTGGAGGTCTACCCTTCCATTGACTCCTATGCAGGGGTCTCTTTCTCCCTTCCTTCCTCATTGTAGGTGGATAACTCCACTTTCCCTTGCTGCCTTCTCTCTAGAGAAGATTCTGCCCAGCATCCACTTAACCACTTCCCCAGCCACTGCATGTGGGATCAGCCCAAATAGGTTCTGTTAGATCCATCGGATTGGGTTCTCCATCTCCTGCTCAGACCCCCTCCCTGGAATATTCTGTTAAATCCAACTTCTCAGTGTTGGTTCTTCCTGTGGTGCTAGGAAATGTTCAAGCTGTCGCCCTGCGGGACATTTTTGTTCAGGCCCAAAACCGAGACAGCTCACCACCTTCTCTGCAGATAGAAGAGCCAGAATGGGAGAAGCGGAGATCCGTCAACCTGTCTGAGCTCATTGACATATACAGGTAGGACAGATGCCTGTCCTTGGTCCCAGCGAGGTCCATGAGCTCACGTGCTGTGGGGTCTCGGAGTTTGCTTGGGCCGGTGAATGTGTGGGCAGGGATTTGAAGAAAGCAGTGCGACTCTCAGACTGTCTTCTGCTCTGGGGGACACGAATGAGAAATTTCTTAGTCACATAAGGTGTTGGTGTCTGTTTGTTAGTGACTCTGGTGTACAATCCCCTCATGTGTGGATTGCAAGGAAGGAAATTTGATTGGAGTTCTGAGTCAGAGCAAAGACAGGGACATAGGTTTATTTTAAATGATGGTTTATAAAGCTGTGCAGATGTCTCTGACTAACTCTTTCTTTATGTTTTAGTCTTAGTTGAAGAATCATTTTGACAGAAGCAGGCAATGTGACCATGAAACCTTATTTTTAAATTCTTATTTATTTCTAGACGAAAGGCATGTCATGGTCATATGCAGTCCATTTTTACTCATTTAACCAAGTTTGAGTAATGATTTTTGTTCTTTTCAAGTAATTTTCTAAGGGGTTATCCTGTTGTTTCGGTGAATTTGGCAGGTATTAAGCCAACTAGTCCCAGTGACTAGGGGAAGAAGTGAGCATATGCTAGCAGTTGCTGTCCAAGCTTATTGACAGTCTTAGGCCTCCTGTCTCCGTCTCTGTCTCTGTCTGTTTCCTGTGCCATTCTCCTTGGCTGTGTTACTTTTCCCACTGTATCCAGTGTGAGAGGCATTGTACCATAGCGTCTTTCTGGTGAGTTCCTTTGGAACTTGCATTGGATTTTCTAGGGGGTCTTTGGTTTCTCAGGGTCAAGAAGAAATTGAATGGGAACAACACAAGGTCTCAAGACTACAGCTGGCTCTCTGTATCTGTGCACTCCACATTTGTGGATTCAACTAATTTCAGATTGGAAAAACTAGGAAAAAATTGTGTCTGTACTGAGCATGTGCAGGCTTTTTTTCTGGAAACAGTAGAGTATAGCAACCATTTACATAGCATTTACATGGCGCTAGGTATTATAAATAATCTAGAGATGATTTAAAGTATACAGGAGGATGTAGGTAATGGAAATTTTATGCTGTTGTACATAAGGGATGTGGACATCTGTGGATTTTGGTATCTACAGTGGGTCTTGGATCTAGTGCCCCACAGATGTTGAGGAACTGGTGTGCATGGAGTCAGTTTGTATAGTGAGAGAAAAGGCCAAAATAAATGGATTCTGGACACTCATCTGTGCCAGAGACTAACTGTTGGGGTCTTGTTTAACTCAGTGATGGTGTTGAGCTGCTCCAGATGGTGAAGATGCCCGATTCCAATTGCAGCAACCTCCTGATTACAACAAGACAAGGCCTGGTTCTGCTTCGGGGGCAAAACCTCACACCGTACTGGACATTGAGCCTTCCAGGCCTGCGCAGGTTTGCAGTTGCTGTTTCAGGCCATTTCCTTATGTTAAAAAATTGTGTAGAATACTTGATATCTGTGGCTGGTGCAGAAGAAGGGAGGGTAGCAGTTCCTTGTTTTCCTTCCTCACCATTGATTGCTTCTTTGTCCTTGCTTGCAGCCAGCCTACTCCTGGGTATTTTACAGATGATCAGACCTTAGACTTCCTTCTGCAGACACAGGAAGGAGTCGGGATGAAAAAGGTAAACAACACTGGGACACAAATCAAAGCAGGCATAAAGTATATACTTTGTGTCCAGCCCTTTGCTAGGCCTTGTGTGGGTTAAAAAGAAGCTAAAATATGATCTCTTCCTTCAAAGAGCTTAAAGTTGAGCCGAAGGAGTAAAATGAAAACTTCTACTTCTGTGTTTGTGCTGCACACTTACCTTTTTTGTCACTAGTCCCTAAACAATAGGTGCAACAGCTATTTACATGACAATTACATTAGGTATTGTAATTAACACAGAGATGACTTCAGCATACAGGAGAGTGTGCATATGTTATGTGCAAATTCAACCTATAAGGGACACGAGCATCCACTGATTTGTGCGTCCACAGGGAGTTCCCCCACAAATACCCAGGGAGGACTGTATGTGTATGATTTGAATTTCTGTGGCTGTTTCTCTTGGCTTTGTTTTTCTGCACTCTCTGGCCACATCCACTGTCTTCTCTCTTGCAGATGATGGTGGTCGATGGCGAGTCTGGCTCCATCATTTGGAGTTACAGTGCTCCATGTCACATGAGAGAAACCCTGACCACCTCAGCGGTTACTTCAGACCGGAAGTCTGTCTTCCTCTTCTGGGCAGAAGGGCTGTCAGCTGCACCACCCAATTCTGTGAGTGAGCCTGGGAGGTCCCTCTTTGTCACATGGATACTTGGGTCTCCAGATATTGACAAGTCATCTTCCAAGGGGATTGGGTGGAAACAGATCAGCACTCCATGGGAGAAGCAGGAGCTACTCTTCCCATCTTTGCCTCTTTGCCAACAATGTAAACACTGAGCAGAGCCCCTGACTACTGAAAAGAGGAAGGCTGGACAAGGAATAGAAAGTCCTCTCAAGAGGCTAGGTACAAATTACAGATAGCTCCTGCCTGTTGCAGTTGTGACGGAGGAGAAATCAATGTGATTGGCCCAGAGTGGGCAGACAGAGTCTCTTGCAGGGAAGGGGCCGGGCTTGGAGGGGAAGGAAGAGACTGCAGGTGTGGATATGGGGCTGGAGGGGGAGCTGTCGGGGAGGAGTGTTGTGGAGTGGGCTCAGCCGAGAGATCAGTTGGGGGAGTTGTGGATGAGGTCTGACAGCTAGAAGGCAGATTTAGGAAGTTTCAGGTGTTGTCCTGCAGTATTTTAGGAGGGCTGATGAGACAGGCTGCCACCCAGGATAGGTGCCTTGGGTCTCTATTAAGCGCTGCCCCACTGTAGTTCCCTGTGTCACATCTTGTTCTCACCGTCTGCTGGGCCCTGAGCTGTTTGTAGTCTTTGAAGGATCATGGGAGGCAGAATGGACCCTGATGGCCACGGTGGGTGAGCCTGCTGGCGGCTGAGTCCTGACTCCAGCACCGTGTGCTGTCTGACAAGTTCCTCAACATTTCTGAGCCTCGTGTTCTCAATCCATTCATGAAGTGCTAATCAATTCCCTCATTCTGATGATCCAATTTACCTAAAACCTAGATTATAGCTGTAGTTCTGCCACGCTCTAACATGTGGCCACAGGCAGCTTACCTAGCATTTTAGTTTCCTGGTTTCCTCATATAGTAAAATGAGGTGATTAGACCAGATGGCTCTCAGATAGGAGCTTCTATAAGTAGCAGTGCAGTTAGGGCACGTTGTAAATGCACTCCTGGAGGAGTGGGTATGAGGAGAAGATGAATGGGGACTTTCCACCTGTAGGGTGATAGTCAGGCGTTCTTGAAGCATGGGAGGCCGTGATAATTGCAGTTGAAGTCTGAAGAAGGCAGAGTTTGGTTCAATAGTGCAAAGCTTTGGTTTTCATGCCATGGATTTGGGGTTTTGTTCTATGGGCAGTGAGCAAGGCATTTGGCTATTTTCTGGCCACTTTGTGGAGCCGGGGCTCTGTCCCTTCCTCCCCAGCTGTGTGGAGATGCACTCTTCTGCTTCATGGTCCTGCAGCAGGAGTGAAGTTGCATGCTCCTGGCCACACTTCTCCTCCCTGTGCCTCTCTAGTGGTGTGGTGCACATGCCTGTCCCTGCCACAGAGGGTACACTGACCCCCGTGGTCCCAAGGTGTTTCTTCTCTGGGATGTGGGGACCTGATGCGTTGGCCCTGGAATTTTGGCTTTATAATTGTTGATTTGCCTGGGTCTCATCAATAATCTGCCTATTTCAGGAACTGATAATGTTTAAAACAATTTTTAACCTGTTTCTTGTAGTTGGCTTTAATATCCAGTGAAATGAAATCTTTGGCTCACAGTGTCTTCAGAAGTAGATTTTTCTCTGTACAAAGCACCACCTGCTGCAAGGAATGGATCAACCCTAGTTCTCCTGCAGGCAGAAGAAGGGTTATTCTCTACAGCATGTTCCTCTTGGGGCATGCACATTTCCTTTGCTTTTCTCTTTCTTTTTTTCCCCCCCTCTCTCCCTCTCCTTCTCCCTCTTCTTCCTTCCTTTCTCTTTCTTTTTCTTTTTCTCCTTCCTTCCTTCCTTCCTTCTTTCAAGAGAGCCTTTTCTAGCTATAGATAGCAATATGAAGAAGTTAGTGATGAGTCAGTGTTTTGAGCTCTTTGAAATAACATGTCTCCTGGATGTGGGAGTTTCTTCCGGACACATCCTTGGGTTGGGAAGCAGAATTCAGCACCTGAGCACAATGAGTAATCACCACTTTTCCTCTGCCCATTTCTCCCGTCGCGGGTAGGAATGTGGCCTCACCTTTGCTTTTCCTGTTTGTGGCTTATTGTCAGGATGCCATGCCGGGAGCTGCTGTACCCAGCTCTTACCACCTTTACCTTCTGCATCCAACCTTCCCCTCCATCCTGCTGGATCTGGCCAACGCCACAGGCACAGTGACGGCCTCACAGGGTGAGTCCCTGTGACACAGGGTGAGTCCCTGTGACGGGGGTCCATGCCCACGGACAAGGGGAGAATGTGCCGGCTGTGCATCGGGGGAGCCTTGTCCCACTGCAGGGAGGATTGTGCTCTTCAGGTGACGGCAGCTGCACTTCCTCCAGTGTCTCTGGAGCCAGGGGCTGTTGCCAGGTTGTTCCACTCTAAAAGGCTCCAAAGTGGCAGACATTTATTGAGCCTCAGTTCTGTGCCAGGACTGTGCCAGGGGCTCACAAGACTTGCAGGACTAGTTTTTTTTTTTTTTATTTGTTTCTTTGTTTAATTTACCTTTTAGGGGTATACAATTTGGAGCTGAGAGACACGATGGAGGTAGAATAGTTTTTCAGGTCACCGACTTACTAAAGCTTTTTGAATAGTCAACATGCACATTGCATAGACATTGGAATCAAGAGAAAAATCAAAGAAGAAACATTTCCAGTAATCTGACCACTCTATTCTGCTGTATATGTGTATCCAAATAAGACTGTAGTGCACAACTGGGATCACATAATATTAAGAGATCCTGAATTCAGGAAAACAAAGGCCTTGAGGCTCAGCCAGTGCCACCAGCTCCTCTGGGTGTCTGCTTGTCTCCTCTCGGATGCCTGGCCTTGGGGAGGCTGCTCTTCCTATTGGGCAAGCGGAAGTGAAGGGGAAGCATGGTCTGGCCACGTCTCCTTTATGCCTTGCCACTCTCTCGCCACTTACAGACTCCCTTCCTTGGGTGGAGCACTCGGGCACGCTGTCCACAGGCTGTTGTGTCATGAGATGTCAGCTTACAGAGTCCTCTCAGTGAGCTAAATGTGCTACTTTTCCAATATTAGCATAGCACAGTATTCAGGGAATATTGACTGATATTAAGTAATAGGAAGAATCTTGAGACAATTTTTAATACCACCACAATTTTATTTTTTATTTTTGGTACCGGGGATCGAACTCAGGTCCTTGCACTTGTATGGCAGGTGGTGGAACCACTGAGCTAAATCCCTGGCTTCAACCACTATTTTAAAGAGGAAGCAAGGTAGTTATGGTGGTACACATCTGTAATCCTAGTGCCCTGGGAGGCTGAGTCAAGAGGATCACAAGTTCAAACCCAGCATAGATAATTTAGTGACTTAGTGAGACCCTTCGTGGCTGGAAAAAAAAAAGACTAAGCAAAGTCAACACCGGTAAGATAAAGAGCTTACTCGGCTTGTAAGTATGTGCCGTAGTGGGAGTGTTCTCTCCTTTGCTGGGTTGGGGCTTTCTTGGACATAGCTGAGAGAAGTAAAGACCAAGAAGAATCGGCACCGTGCCAACAAGCCGTCTCTCACCTCTGCACCCAGTGGTTCTCTGCCTGGCCTCTGTTAGGTGCTCAGTAAGCTTCCGGTATGAACTGAGTGAATGAGTGAACGAATGTTGCCGAACAGAGTCACTCTCCTGCTAGTAGAAGCTGCCCGTCCTTGGTAACTGCTCTCCTTTTTTGTTCCTCCTCAGTTGGAATCAACGACCTCTGGAAAGATGCCTTTTATGTCACCCGGATGACAGGGCCAAGCACGGAAGGGCATCCCGCACCCGTGGTGGTCAGCAAGCTTAGTCTTCGGTGGGCACTGATGGAGAGCCAGATGGTCCAGCTGGAGGAGACCACTCCCACAATTGGCCGCGGAGAGCTGCGAAGATTCCTCTCCAGGATAAAGTTTGTTGATTCTCCCTACCAGGTAAGCACCTTCTGAGACAAGACAGACTCAAGCTTTGATTTTTTTGGAGCATGGGGAGGATTTCAGGGTAGATGAATATCAGGAACCAGTCTTGTTGGACCAGTGCTGTTTCCCAAGGATACTTCCTGGCCATGCAGAAAGGGCTCTCAGTTAACTGTTTTCTGCTGGAAATGGCTCTGTCACCCTTGGGGGAATTTGGAAATGTGGGGTCATGGTTTTTATTGTCCAGGGAGGGAGGTGCATGGGACCTTCTAGTGTTTTCTGGATAGGGTCAAGGAAGGACCCTTTGTATTTGTGTACTGCAAAGAATTACCTTGCTAAAAATGCTAATGTCCATTTCCCACCCACTTCCCTGAAATCCTCTGGTCTAGTTCAGAGTTCACGAGCTTATCATGGAGAAGGACAAAGTCTCCCATCCTTTCTGGAGGGAGGAAGGGTAAACTACTGGGACTAAAGAAGGCAGTCTGACCTTTAGGTTCCCTCATTTTTTCTAACTTGGAAAAATATAAAGTCACTGAATGTGTCCCTTTCCCCACAGATCTAGTCTAATGGACTCCTCAGTTTCAGAAGTAAACAAGAGTGAGTTTGCTCTCTCCTGTCAGTGGAGAACCAATTCTTTGGCGAGAGGAAGACTTCCGCACGACTGAAAGCTGCACTTTGGAAGGCAGTGGCTGGAGCTGTGATGATGCATGGCCCGCTTGGCTGGGGTGTTGACTACCTTTCCAGTCCCCGCACTAACCCCTCTAGGAACTCTCTGTGGATAGTTTGGAAATGTGAATCTTCTCAGTGTTTTATTTTTTTGTACATCTAATTTATAAACCATTACTGGGAAATCCAGTAAAGCCTATGACTAGGACATATTTTGTTTTGCATTATGCTGCATGTATATATTTTTTGGTATTGTGGTGAGATTATTTCCAGACATGCCCTAAGCTTCAGAGATCCCATTTTTTGTTCTCTCGAAATAGGTGTGGTTAAGTCATCTTGAGACTTCCTCTAATTCTGAGGGTCACCCTCATTCTCTCCTTATTCTCTCTCCTCCTGTACCATGGCTGCTTCTGAGCTGTAGACAGCAGTGAGAAAGACTGACAGTGGAGGACCGAGTCACCCATCCAGCATTTTCAACTCTTCCTTCCCCAGACTTTCTGTCTGTATGAAGTGGCCATGACAATAATCACGTTCCTTTCACAAGGGAGCAAGAGAAATAGTTTCAGTGACTCACTTCTAACCAGGCCCCTATGTCCTGTCCGTGTGGTTTTGTTGGCTCTGCCAGTCATGACCTTGTTCCTGCAGTGACGTCAGAAGGGCTGGGAGTCAGGGCCCAGGAAGCCCAGGTCCTCCCCCCGCTGCCTTCCCCGCATCTCCTCTGGGCATCCTCCCCACTGCCTCTCCCCTTCCTTTCCCTTTTATTCAGGGATATGTTTCTTGGCTTTTACTTTTGCTACTTGTGCCCACAGTGCAACCATTTTGCCCTGTACCTTCCCTTACAGAGACTTTGAAGCATCATATTTAAATTCTTATGTGATTAAGTTCTTTAGAATTATTTCTGGTACTTTCACCATTCTTCTGTATACACTTGTTACTTCTATTAAGCTCTCTTTTAAACTTCTAGGTCATTGTCTGTACAGCAGAAAATCCAGTGGTAGCTCATTAAGAAAAACAAACAAACAAACAAACAAACAACTGCTTTTCTGCTTGAGTACTTTTGATAGATCTCCCCTGAGTGAAAATCAGGTTCTCTTCTTACTTGGACTAGTTTCTGTTTAGCTTGGGTTAATGAAGTATTCCAGAAAATGGTGGATTCCTTATTTGAAAGGTTATCTATTAATTGCTCACTGATAGGTGTTGCATCAGGGGGTTGTCAGCAGTAGATCCAAAGAAGGCTAATGTTTCCACACTGCAGATTGTCTGGCCCACAGATCAGCCTTACCAGGCTTCTGGTAAGCCTCAGAGCATATTTGCTTTCAACACTCTGGAAGTTGTGGGTAGGTCCTGCTTGATTTTAGTAGAATAGTTAAGAAGATATCTCAGGCCCAGGGATTTAGCTCAGTGGTTCCTCCGCCTGCTTTGCAAGTGCAAGATTTAGAGTTTGATCCTCAGTACTGGGGGTGGGGGGGGGAGAAAAAAAAAGATATCTCTACTACAGATTCCTTTGTCCACACTTGAATCTACTTGGGTATAAGGGCCTAGGTCACAGTGATGGCGAACCTTTTAGAGCTTTCAATAATAACAAACAGCCCACTGTGGCATGCGTGGCATAGGTTTGCCTCCATTAGCCTAGTATATAGTTCAGTTAGCTATAGAGTTCTCAGGACTAATTTTTAGTGGACCAAAGCCCAAAACTAATGGTCCTATGGCTTGGCTGAGCCATCCATGCATAACCTGTTCTCTACCATGTTGAGGCTTTCTGGGAAACCAGCCAGCACAGACAGGAGTGAAATACAAAGTTGTTAATGGAAGGTCTGCTTGGGTGGGTTTGTTTGGACAGAGGCCCTACGTGTGTGTGCAGCGTAAGTCTCAGACACAGAGAAGAGGAATCTAGAAGCTAGTGTTACTGAACTCTGTCTCTTAAAAACTCCATACTGTGAGTTTGAATCCCTCCTTGCTACCCATGACAGCTCTAGGTTTACTTCCTCTTGCAGCGAGTACAGAAGGGTAGAAGTGATGCCGAGGACGGAGAAAGCACATCTGCCTGATGTGAGTGCTGGTCTCTTGCCAAATGTGTCCCTAAACAACCTGCTCCGCCCAGATGTCCAAGATAGGAAGTGCTCCCTTCTCTTCCTAATCCAAACAGGGTTTCCAGCCAGGGCCTTTTCCTCTCAGGCTGTCCTCTTTCCTCCCCTTGTGAACCCTCCCCTCTGTGCTAGGCAGCGCCCTCTCTGTCCCCCAGATGTGTGGCATAGTTCTACCAACGAACCCTGTGAATGTGAATTGCTGTCCTTCTTGTCCACATGAAAGGAGAGCCAGCTGGTCTGTGGTCCGAAAGCACTATTTAAAATGTGAACTGTTATAGAACAAATAAATACCGTGGACCGGAATAATCTACTTGTGTGTCATTCTCGTTCTTGCCAACTCTGGTTGGTTTGCTTTCCCTAGGAAAAGGGGAAAGGGCATCTGGATGGATGGCATTCTCTGTGGAGGAAAGGGAGGGCAAGCTCTTCAAGGAAGAGCAGGTGGCATCCAGAGAGGAGCCTCTGCCCTAGCCTGGCTCACTGGAAACGTCCCCAGTATGACTCTGGGTGCCACAGTTCCAGCTGAATAGCCTTTGTAGGCCATTTCTAGAAGTGAACCTAACCTTGTGGGCTGTAGGAGCCTTTTTGTACTATGCTACCCTTCTAATGGCTTTTGGGATAGTTTTTAATAGCACTTTCCTTGGTGCCTGTGATGTGGGTACAGGGCGTTGTGGTACACAGTATGGAGGACACCTCTTCTTCTGATCAAAGCACTCGGGTGCTTCCCGCTTCCAGCTGTGACTTCCTCAAAATTCCAGTGCACCATGGACTCTTGAGCCCCAGACAAAATACTGTTAATTTGCTGAGCTCCGTTTTTCCAACTTCCAGAGAGAATTTCCAGTGACCAGATTTCTAAGACCCCCTAAAGGCAGGAACTATACTTCTCTCCTCTTTTTATCGCCCTTGATTAAGAATTTGGCCCATAAGCAATCAGTGAAGGATGAGAAGCACATCCGGATGCAGGAGATACAGGGGAGGGATGCAGCAGACAGAGCTGCGAAGGAGAAGGGGTGGTTGCAGTGCCCCTCGGGACTTTGTACTTAGCTCCCAAAAACCAGGCTCAGAGACAGACGTTGGCTTAAGCAGATGTTGATAACAAGCAAACATGGAAGGTGGGGCTCAGCCTGCTCTCCAAACCCACTTAACTCCTAGCACTGCTCTTCCTTTATGGAGGACTCAGCCCCTTCTCTCAGCTCCGGGCTGGTCCCTCGCTGAGATGCCTTGTCTTGTAGCGCTGAGTAAAAGTCCACACTTTCTGAGACGGAATGGACGGGCTGATTGCGGTACTGGTGGTAGCTGGGCAAAGGACCCCTGGGCAGGCATCACATGACCGCTGCAGGAGGAGACACTGGTGGTGATCGGGCAGGCAACCCGGGTTTCCTTTGAAGCTCTTACTGTGCCTGCGCTTGAACTCCAGCATCATCCTGGTGTACGCGTTGAAGGTAGTGACAGCCGATGCCATGCAGCAGGTGAAGGAAACCCAGGCCATGCTAGGGGCAAACACACAAAAAGGGACAGAAAACAAATGACTTTCTAGAAACAAAAATGCCTTCCCACTTGGCTGATGCCTTCAGGGGACCTGTGGGCCTGAGTGTGCTGCCTCTGCCATGTTGCTGGTAAAGAACTGGTATGCCTTAGGAGAGTGTGTTCTGTAAGCATACTGAGGGTTAGCTCACTTGTCCAGCAAGTTTAATCACCAGAACTGGCAAAGAAAAAATCAATGAGTTTGTAGCTGTAGCTCCACGGTAGCAAATGCAGAGCTCTGGCTTGCATTTTTAGTACACACACACACAAACAGGTGGGGGGACGGAGGGGGACAATGGAAAGAAGAGGAAGGAGGAGGAGGAAACGAGACCATGACTGATGTGGTATAAAAATTACACAGGAGTTCAGTGGAGTGGTGGTGTGCCTATTTTGTACACACAAATGAAAAAAAAAGTATATATGTCACAGCTGCTGTCACCCTTGTAAAATCTCCATGATCCCAAGACCTGCATGATTCCTCCAGGATTTCCATCCTCACCCCTCCCCTGCCAAAGGTTTCCCTCCATTCGGCGCAAGGAGGAACTGTCCCTTTTCTACCTTCCTTTGTTTTGAACTGAACATTCTTAGGGTCCACGGAGGTGGGCCTTTGATGGTCATTCATGAAAACATTACTACAAGTCTGAGGAAATTATGTGATCGTAGGAATTTGCTTATTCTGAAAACAGTGTGGTTCTTAGCTTAAGGTAGTTTACAGTGGATGCTTTAAGAGAAGCTGGAGCTGGTTGGAATCAAGAAAGAAAAAGACACGCTAGGGAGCTGTATCAGACAACATTCCTAAAAACTGGGAAGGTGAAGCCCTAAATCTCCCTGTGGGGTGAGGCGGGCTGTCTCCAGGCCAGGGTTAAAGCCAGGCCACAGCCAGTACTGGATGCTCCCATCTGCTGCCTCTGAAAAACCAGGTAGCTTCAGGCTGGGTGGCTTCATGGCAGTTGTTTTACAACCCGAACTCCCCTAGTTCAGCTCCAAGAAGGGCCTGAAGATAGGTGAGAAGTGGTGCACTGGTGAGGGAGTAGAATAAAGGCTTCTGAACCAAAGGGCACATAGAACACAGCGAGGAAAGGGGACAGGATCTCTCACCCCAGACATGAGTCGGTGTGCATAAGGCCTTCAGTCCAGTGGGAACCGGAGCCCCGCACTGTCTTCTCAGGGCTGTCCATGCTCTGAGCGTGTGCCCCAGAGGTGAATGGGAATTCAAGTTGGCAGCTCTGCAGTAAGCAAAGAGCTCTCCTCAGAGGAGAAGGCGGGGCGCTTGTATACATAGCCATTGCTGGGGTTGACTGTGATTGTGTGGTCATGGTTGCTGCTCTTCCCTTCTTTTTAAGAGAAATTGAAAACAGGCGCCTTAGTTCTTTAAAGATTAGAGAATCACCGTGGGTAGGGAAGCTTGTTCTAACACAGTTTGGTAGAAGATTGGAAGAAGTAGTTACTCTTGGAGTTTATAGGAGAGTTTACAGTGGATAGAAGGAAATTAATTGACCATCAACTCAGGTGAGTTGGAATTCAATCCAAATTTCAAAGCTAATTATTTTTCATTTCTCTAATTAATTGGAATCATAAAATGTATATTAAGAAGCATCATTTCCATAAGCCAGACAAAATCAGTCTCATTTCTCAAGGAAAACATGCATATTATGTGAAGAAAAACTGGACAATCTAGGAGACTGAAACAGGAGGATGGCAAGTTTGAGCCCAGCCTGGGTGACTTAGCTACTTTATGAGACCCTGTCTCAAAAAAATAAAAGGGCTGGGATGTCAACTCATTGTGAAGACCTGGGGTTCGATCATCAATGATGCAAAGAAAAAGAAAGAAAGAAAGAAAGAAAGGAAGAAAAAAAGAAAGAAAGAAAGACAAGGAAATAACCAACTTGGGAGGCCGAGGTAGGAGGATTGCTCTGAGTTCAAGGCCAGTCAGAGCTATAGTGAGACCCTGTCTCAGAAACCAAACCAAACCAAACTAAAAACCAAAACCAAAAAAAAGAAAGGAAGGCCTGGACAGAACCATGTCCTCACAAAGCACAGGCAGAAGAATGCTTTGTACCCTTTCCAAAGGCAGGGAACGGATGAACGCCCTGATGATAGACTTCTAGAACGGGGGATAAAGAAAATGAGGAAAACAGGGACGTGAACGTGGAGCTGAGAGTAGAAAATCTAGGGCAGCTTGGCCAGGGAGAGGGTAAAGGGTTCAGGGAGTGATGTTCACTTACTAGAAGGCCCAACCATAATTCCAGGCATGTGGTCTCCAGTCTTCTGGACCCATTTTGGCAGTGGCCTGGAAGACTTGGGAATACATCATGTGGGCCACCATCCCCAGAAGACCTTCAGAGGGAACAGGAAGGCACAGCATTAGGGCAGGGCTGTCCTTGGCATTCCCAAAGGTGACTTTGGAGCCACGGCCTCACTGAAGCCAGGCAGGGCCTCCTGTACCCTCCGCTCCAGTTCCTGGGAGACTCCTCTATACTGAGAGGTCTCGAATGCATTATCTTTGCAGTGGTCACCCTGAACTTCCGGTGAGAGCTACTGACAGAGCCTCTGAGTGGCTGCACCAGGACCATCATGCCCTTTGACTTCTTCCCTCGCTGTATTCTTCCTCCTGCACATGCATCTTGCATTTTATCCAGGTCCATCTTGAAAAGCTGCATGCCTGCCACAGCGGAAAAAAACAAACCCCACAAGAAACAACCTAGGGGTAGATCATTTGCTTAAGAACACAATTATCCATTATTTCACATTAACTTCAATTTAAAATGAAAGATGCCTGATCAAGGTGTGATATGTGTATGTACCAATTCACCACAACCAGCCGGGTATTTAGCTCAGCGATGCCGCCGCCTTCCTCGCAAGCACAAGGTCTTGAGTTTGATCTCGGTACAACAACAACAACAACAAAACCACCCCAAAACAAAACAAAAAGCCCCAAGCATATACTATTAAAAAAAGGGTACCTGCAGTGTATCTCCTACCTCCAGCCTTCAGGGTTCTCCTTCCCACCCCCCCCAGACCCAAGCCCTCCGGCGTCCCTCTCCCTGTGGGGGTCGCTCACCGGACAGCACCGAGGAAGTGGCTGCAAAAGCGCTCAGCTTGAGCCCGAAACCTGGGTTCCAGGTGAGTAGCAAGTCTGTCAGCAGCAGGAGGAAGCTGATGAGCTGAAGGCAGATGTAGGTGATCTGGGCAGCCAGCGACAGCCGGAGGATCTCTGTTGGGAACCATGGAGAAAAGGGAGCCCATCCCCACAGGAACGTGACTGCACCAGCACGGAGCCCAGGCCGCCCATCCCCGCTAGAAGGCAGAAGCCCAGAGTCTGGGAGAAGAGAAAGACGAAGCTGCAACCACTGGCTGTCTTTCTCCGCAGCTCCCACTGTGTGACATCCAACATTTTCAGCAAGTCAACGTGGACTGTGGATGCTTTGAGGGAGATGTGTGACTTTAATTATTTAATTTTGAGAAGATTTAATTTTGAGAAGATCAGTGTTGGGTCCTTTTCTCTTTTCTCCCCTTCCCCTTCCCTCCACTCCTTTCATTATAAACAAACAAACAAACAAACAAACAAACAAAACAATTGGCAGAAAAGCCAAAGCTTTTCCATGTGGTTTCTTGGCAGGAGGGCCAGCTAGGACTCTTGGAGGTTTTCTATCTGTGAACTGCGTTTAGCCAGCTGTTCCTGCTTCACGTTCCTGCCTGTGAGTGACAGTCAGCTCCGGGAGGAGTTCATGTCACCCCCGGGACTCAGAGGAAGAGGAGGGTAGAGGTCACAGCGCAGCTGAGCTCCAGAGAGGGCCCATTGGATGGTAGCGAGGTTGGTCGTAGAACACATACTTGCCACGAGCCCCAAGGGAAGGCGGGGGAGGAGAGCGTTCTCCATCAACCCTCCAAATCGGAAAGCGGGGTGACACAGGCCTTGCAACGCGGGAAATTCCAGTAGTCCTTTCTCACCTCTCTGGGCTGGTGGTGTGAGTTCAAGGAAACTTCGGCACCTCTCCCCTGAAACACACAAGGGGCCACTTGGTGGGGAGCTCCAGGACTTCGCAAATATCTTGGTTGGAAAGTGGGGAAGAAGGCTTGGATGAACAAATGGCAGAGGCAAGGGGCATCAGGCTGGTTTTTCTCTCCTGCCTTTCTGGTAAGAAGACGCTGGCCAAGAACACCGCCCAGGCTGCTGTTCCCGCTTCCTTTCTCAGGAAAAGTGCACCACCCTGGTGTGATGAATGCTGTTACTGGACTGCCGGATCAATTGGCTCTAAACTGTTCCCAGCACTGTGGTGAAGCAGCACTGAGCTGCACAATAATACACATAAATGCAAACACGCACACACTTCTATTCCTCTTCCATCTCCCTCTCCCTTTAGCCTAGTTCGAGAGAAGTAGCAAATTTCAAATTGAAGGTGATTCTGGGCATTAGAGAAATGTCACTGCCAGACACTTCCTAGGTCACAAGGTGACCTTCAAATGCTGTGAGCCAGGAGGAGGAGGGGGGAGGGGAGAGGAAGGGGGGAGGAACGAGGAAGGGGAGGGGAAGGAGGGGGGAAAAAGGGGAGGGGGAAGGAGGAGTCCTCAGCCTTATTCCCTCCAATGTGAGGAACACATACCTTAGGGTGGGAAAGCAGTTTTAGGAGAAGAGGAGAGGGTTTCATCTCACAAATGAGAAAATCAAAGCCTATAGAAATGAAGTTATTTGCCCAGGATTTAGCTTAGTGGTTCTGCCACCTGCCTCACAAGCGCAAGGTCCTGAGTTCAAGCCCCATTTCCAAAAAAAAAAAAAAAAAAGAAAAGAAAACAGAAATGAAATTATTCATATAAGGTCCCAGAGTCAGGCAACACTAGGACTTTTTCTACAACAGTCTTCTTGTTTTGTTTCTAAGGAACAATTCCAGAGCAGCTAGCTGTTCTAGCTGGGTGTGGTGGTGCACACCTATAATTCCAACACTCAGGAAGCTGAGGCAGGAGGATTGCCATGAGTTTGAGGCAGCCTGGGATGCATAGTGAGTTCTACGTCAGCTTCAACTACATAGCAAGGCCTCGTCTCAAAAAAAAAAAAAAAAAAAAAAGTACAGTTTCTAAATAAATCACAATTGATTTATAATGCTTTTTTTCTTTCTTTCGTTCTTTTTTCTTTTTCCTTGTTGGACCAGAGATTGAACTCAGGACCTCACACATGCTAAGCAAGCACTATACCTTTGAACTACATCTCCAGCTCTGGGTTAATACTATTTTAAACAACCAAGTAGAGCTGGGAGTGGTGGGGTTCTGTCTGTAATCTCAGCAACTGCCTCAGGGAGAGGCCAGAAGATCAGGAGAGTTAGGATCAGCCCTGGCAATGTAGTGAGACCTTGTCCTAAAAAACAAAACAGAGCAACAACCACAAGACCCAAAGAACAAAACAAAACAAAAAGCACAATTAAAAAACAAAAGATCCCCAAACAACCCAGCAAGCCTGATATAGAGGGAGACAGAGAAAGCCACAGGAACTTTTAGGGGTTAGAAGAGACAATACTGATGGGAAGGATTAGGGTTTGTTGGGGGCAGTGTGGTACCTTCCACTGCTGTCCTAACTCAAGATGCCCTGAAGGTTTCCTGCCCTACTCCACCCCCACCCC